CATGATCAGTGAGGAATGTGAAAAATTCAGCTACGTCGCGTTGCTGATGCATTCTGGGCCATGTCCTGAGTAAGTCAAGCCACGCCTTCCTCCGATAGATCTGCACCGATCCGCTCGGATTGAGAAGGGGTCTCAGGAGTTGGTGAAGATCCCCAAAGTGAGAATTGCGATCTGAGGCCCGAGCAGTGTAGATCCACATGTGTCACATGAGTGCCTGCACTAGCGAATTGAGATAGCACAGGTTGTGTGGATTGGCAAGAACAAGCAATGGAGGCGGCTCCAGATCAGTGTGAGCAGCATCTGCCGGATTGTTTGCAGCTCTTGATGATGCAGCTGCTGATGTCCCCGAGTTCTCAAGCCATTGCTTGAGCGTCCCCTCGTTCCCTTTGGTAGGGATATCCCCCTGCTCATGTGTCAGCTTCCCCTTTTGGGGGCCGAATTTCGGCTTCCCTGGATGGCTTTCTGCCTTCTGACCTCTTCTATCATTGCGTTGCAGGTCTTCAGGCAGTACACCTGCCGGCAGGGCTTCGAGCTGTATCAGCTTCCCCCTGCTGAAAATGGTTTGTTTCGGGGCCGATGTTGGCTCCCCTTCCTCCCTAGTATCCTCCGGGGCCGTCAACGGCTGCCCTTTTTGCTTGATTGTCTTCATTGATCTGACTTTAGAAGCTGCAGGAGCTCCTTTGGTAGCGGTCGATGGCTTCGCTTCGGTCGCAGCCTGACTCCTATGAGCCTCAGCACTGAGTTTTCGGTCATGGCGGTTAGGGCTTCCCTGATTTTCACCTTGTCTGGGGCCTCCTGAGAGATGGTCAGCTTGAACATTTTGACCTTGCTCGGTTCCGACTTCTCCTCCGGGAGACCTCCCATTGCGAAGAAGGAGTGCATCGTGCCTTCCTTTACCGTCAACGGCTTGAGCTCCTGTATGAAGGTCAGGGCCCGTTCGTGTGCCAGGGGCTCCCTGTCGGTAGGGACTTGAGTTTGCTTCTCCGCGTCCCACTTGGTATACGACCATCTGAGTGGGTTGGCTGCCAAGAGCCCCGTCGCAATCAGCTTGGATTGCGCCTCTTTGTCTGCGCTCAGCTTCCCCATTCTGGCTTCCATTTCCATCAACAATGCGCCCATCAGGGCTTGACGGAGGCCGCAGTCGCACGTGCCCTGTGCTCGGCTCTTCTTCCATGTGTGGGTCGTCTTGAGCAGTTGTTGAGTGATCCCCAGGTCCCCTGCGTCCATGAACATGATCCACGAGCGATCTGCTTCCAGAAGCTGCAGGGCTGTCTCGTGTCGAGCCATGATCTTTGCAAGGGCCATGATTTGCGCATTCGGAGGCGATCGCGCAAAAGGGGCCGATTTCGGCTCCCTGTCCCGGGCTCTTTTGTGATCGAGTCTTCCCGCCCCTTTGCCGTTCAGTCTCTGCGCTTTGGTTCTGGGTGTGGTGATCAGTTCCTCGTCTTCGAAGAGGTCCTCGTCCATCATGGGGGAGTTTGCCCCCCACAGAGAGGCTATCTGTGCAAGGGCTTGGTTGTCTGCCATGGCTCTGCAAGACTCTAAGCTGAAGGAGAGGGAGGCACCTACCTGCATGAACCTTCGGCGTTTTGGTGAAAGTGTCCCTGCAAAACTTGCAAGGTCTGGAGAGTACGGTGGCCTTCATCCCTTCTGCAACACGATCTTGTAGCTGAGGGGCGCACCATATGTCCTGATGGGTCTTGGCCATGTGCCGTCTCCAGTCCTGTTGATTGGTGACGGGGGTGGCACAAAATCCGCAGTGTCTCTCAAGGAATTGCAGCAGCGGCCTGTCGGCTTCCCCAGCGGGGGCCGTAGTGTCCTGTAGCAAGTCGCGTACTTTTTCTGGGGTGAAATGCTTAGGGGAGATGGTGGGCTCAGTGGAGGTTTCTGGTTGACCCGCCTGGCACCATGCGCTAGCCAGTGCTACCTGGAAAATGACCACGCAGTTCCGAACATGTCGATCCGCTGAATAGACCCTTTGCTGGCAGAGCTCACAGTCGTGGTCTCTGTGGACCGGATCAGATCTCTGTAGTCTTCACATTTGCTGGTAAATTGATCAAGTCCAGCATCCCATATTGCTGGGTGCATACGCTTGATGTGCTCTTTGACGGATCCCTGCTTAGCTATCCATTGCCCACAAAAACCACAGTGTGCTTGAAGAGTAGGTGCCCATGCTGCAAGGCTGTGGAGCGAAAGTGGAGGTTGCTTAAGGAGGGCAACTGCAGTGTTCGTACGCAGGATGGGTGTATCGGCCGGTTGTTCCCTGCTGGAAGATTCAGTGGGTACGTCCTGGGCGCTTTGTGCCTGGGTCTGATCATGTTGCAGCTTGTCCTGTATGTGTGGGGTTTCAACAGGAGCCGTGGGTTCAGGGGCCGGCAACGGCTCCCTTTCAGGTCTCGGTGTGATGTTGCTCAGGAATGTCCACTGGTTTGGTACGACAGGCGTAGGTGAGGATGTGTTGCTTGAAGGCGCCCCAAGATTTGAGATGTTTCTGGCAGTACCTGCACTGAGGCATGCCCTGTATGCAGCGCTCATGCTGTTTGTAGTGTCGCTCTTCTTCGGCGTCGACGCTCACTTTCTGGTGGTGTTTTTGTGCTCTGTGTTGTCTAAGTGTTTTCGTCGACGGAAAGTAGATGCCACATTCCGGGCAGGCCAGGCCAGTAATGGTGGGCTCGGCCGGAACAAGAGTTTGCGAGGGCAGCTCAAGGGTGGTAACCTGCTTAAATTCCTTAGCTTTGTCTTGCCAGAAAGTCAGGATATCAGGGGTGTTCGTAATGTCAGCTGGTTTTTGTTGAAGTTTTTCAACCTTGCGCTGAATGGCATGATAAAGTGAATCGAGGGGGTCGCTGAGGTGAAATTTGGCGCAGAGGGTGGAGTTGCTCTCATGAGTGATATGGGCAGGGGAGTTAACTACTGCTCTTAGCTGTTTGTAGAACCAGTTTCGAAGCTGAGTTGCCGCAGCATGTGTCATTCCCACCGGTAGAAGCCCATACGTCGCGCTTGAGACAGCGCATGCCGTCCAAATTCTAAGGCGGTGGGTAAGGCTGAATATTCTGCGAGAGCGGGTGGATCTATGGAGCTTAGCCTCTCTACCCTTAGCTTCCTTAATGCGGTGACGTGTGTTTGAAAGGGCGCAAGCGCCCAGCTCCAGATGGGTGCCAAGGTAGATGACGGATTTGGCCAACGGTATGTACGCGGGGCCGGTCGCGGTCTCCACTTGCCAATGCTGTTTGCCTTCCTTGCGGACAATGTACTTTTTGAGCACCCGTTTCGCCCCGGGGCCCCTGACTTTGAGGAGCAGCGCGGTCTTGGTGAGGTTCACGTGAAGACCAAGCGCTGCCATGACCTTGAGTACCTGGGCCAGGAGGATGGCCAGCCGGTGCACATCACTTTCCTGCTCTATGAGCCACTGGCATAAGGTATCATCGGCGAAGGTCGTTCCTTGGCGCTTGGGGCCCGATAGGGCATCCCTGAGTTCATACAGGATCGTGGTGGATATCGCAACCCAAAGAAGGGGCGCTATTCGACACCCTTGCCTTATTCCGCGCGTAGTGCTTACGGTGGAGGAAAAAGTTGTCCTGGATGTGGTAAGACGAGGTATCATGCAGGGCAATCACCGCTGCAATGAGGTTGTCCGGGGCGCCGAGTCGCCTGAGGGAGGAGGCGAGCGCCTGCCGGTCGACCCTGTCAAATGCCTGCTTAAGGTCTAGGCTGAGGATAGCTCCCCCGACACAGAGATCCTTTTGGGTGCCTTCTTCCTCGCGTGCCTTCAGGGCAAACCTGCCCGTGCCGGCTTTGTCAAGAGTGTGGCTAAACAGCCTCATCCAAGAGTGCACCCTGGCCAGTGCATCAAGGATATCTCTGTTGGGCTGATACGCATACTGCGGCACCCACTGCAGCTGGCCGAATGACGGCATATAACCTCTCTTTTATGAGGGCCGCTAGGACTTTGGCTTCGGGGCTCATCAGTCCCATGGGACGCAGGGCCGAAGCGTGGGACGGCGCCTTGCCTGGCTTTGGAAGCCAGATGATCCAAGCGTCAGTCCACCTGGGAGGGAGGGTGACATTGGCCGCACCCACCTTCCAGGCAGCAGTCGGTGCAACCCCTGAAAGGACCGCTTTTCCTACGCTTGTGATTTTGAGTTGACCGTAGACCTCCTCCAAGGTAAAAATGAGAGGAAGGATTTCGCCTTCTCTCTGTGGCTGTAGATGTTTGGGGGCAAAGAGACCTTTGCTGTAGCTAACAAGGGACTCGTGCTCTTGCTTCTGAGTCAGAAGCGTCCCCTTTTCATCCTTGAGCATAACCCTATTTCGAGGGGCCCATGGAGCAAGTTGCCTAACCACCTGGTAGACCGTTCTTTGATCCCCACTGGTGGCCGCCGCTTCGGCCTGACCCAGGAGAGCCAGCGTAGCATTGCGCTTGTCTGCGTAACATTGTTTTTGGGCTGTTTTGGAGGCCAGACGATAGCGAATCGTAGCTCTCCAAGCAGCAAAGAGACGACCCTGTCTGCAGAGCTGAACAGGTGTGTATTTGGCGGCTTTACGGAGCTGCCAAAGGTGAAGGATTGTGGGGTTTGATTTCGGCGGGGACTTCGCCGCGGGGGGAAAGACATGACAGCAAGCCTGCAAAATGGCTTGGTTCAGATGAGGGGAGTCCTGAGGGAGGAGCTCTACCCTAGACTGAATTTCCTGCTCCAGTTGTTGAGCTTTTTCAGATCCCTTGCGGACCGCTTCGTCTAGTTCTTTTTTATTGTAAGCAGGTTGTGTAGGACGGCGAGCAGGAAGCAGGTAATGATTCATGATTCGGATGTCCGTCGCAAGGCTATAGTGGCCTATGTGAAGGCGCCACGCGCCAATCGGTGGTTTGGCCACCTTGACATATTTGGCTCTGGAGTCCGCCGTAACCGCGCGCGTCATGATGTAATCAATTTGGCTCGTACCCACCTGGTTTTGGGGAGCCTGATTGAATTGGGTCGGTTTTGCGATGCCATGCCAGGTATTTAACGCCACCAGCCCATTCGTGCCAAAGCGTCGGGGTCTGTGGCCTCCGGCCCCACGTGGAAGGGAGTGTTGCGCGTTGAACGCCCAACGTGTGGTGGGGAGGGTTTCACCTCCGCCTGGAAATCGCCTGCCACTATGAGGGTGGTGCGAAGGGGGATTCCGGTTATGGACCTGGTGACCTTGTTCAGAAAGGCGTGGCGCTTCTTTTTTAGAGACTCGGTGTAATTGTGGGGATGCTGATAGCAGTTGTGTATTTCGATGCGTCCGTGGGGGGCTTGAAGCTGAACACGGCGTGCCCGTCCCGGTACAATCTCCTCGTGTCTCACCACGTGCTTGTTGTGTCTCGGGTGGACTAGCGTGAGGATACCGTCTGCCCTGGCCTTGGTACCCGAGTGAATGGCGCGCCACCCTTGGACCATGAAGTCCGAGGTCGTGGACCAATGAGTCTCCTGAAGACATATGACGTCGGCCTGAGCCGTCGCCAAGTATTCCTTAAGTTCTTGCCAAAGCAAGGTAGACAGGGAGCCCACGTTGAGGGACAATATGCTCAGTCTCTCGACGTGATGCTGCCCCGCTCGGTTGCCTCTGGTGGCGTGGGATTCGGTGGCTGGTCTCCCGGCCGTGCGGAGTGCAACGTCAGCAATTTGCGGGGCCGTAATACGGCGCCCCTTGTACCATGTGAAGCCCTGGGTTTGTGCCCGGTGTTTGGCTCTTCTGATAGCCCTTTTTGACCCGGGAAGTCTGGCGATGTCAACGTGTTGAAACTAAAGGCTTCTCAAGCCTTCCTTCCCACTCTACTCGCAAACACACTTTTCTCACTTCGCGGGCTGACTTGCTTAAGCCTCCGTGTCGCGGTTCACACACATGTTTCATGTGTTCTTGTGATTACTCTACACACTCTACTTGGGACTACGTGCACTAGGTTACAAACGAACACCCCGCCTCAGAAAGTTCTTGCGGGTTCCTAGGGTGTTCTTGGAAACTGCTAGGGCTTTCTGTACAGTGCTTTTGCTAGGGACTTTCGTCTCCGTTCTTTCTGGTCTTTTACCTAGCTGCACTCCTGCCCTGTTGCTACTTAGGCCCGCTATGTCTGTACATTGGCCTTCTTGAAAAACCTACTCTGTATATACACCTACGTTCTAGTTAGGTCCAGCCTATGGACTCTTTGCGGGGAGGCCCGTACCCCGGTTTCCTTCTGCCCTTACGTAGCCTACGGGCTTTTCTTCTTTCGGGCTTCTTCTCTTGTTCTTGGCTTCTCCGGCTTCTTGCCTCTTCTGGCCCTTGTACCTTCCTAACCTGCCTGGTGTGAAACTTCTTGTGAGACTTTGGAAGGTTGTAGCTTACTTAGGCTTACTGCCCTGGTTTGCTACGTCTATACAGTTGCTTAGCTATGTACATATGTACAAGCGTTTACTGCTTGACCTGCTCGATCATCCCTTCCCGGGATCCTCTTCACTGGGTCTGCGTCCAGTTCTTGGACTTCTTGCCTTTGCTCTTTCCTTTGGGTGTCCACTGGTCCCACTGGTTCTGCTGCGCCCACTCTTCTGGCGTCTGCCAGTAGCCTTTGTTGTGCGGGTTCGCATTCTCACACCAACCACTGCCGTCGTCGGTGGTGTTCCAGTTCTCGTTGTTCCACTGCTCGCCATACCACCAACTGTCGTTCTGTCCGTCGTCCCAGGAAGGGCCTTTTCCCTTGGTTCCTGTGTTGTCGTTCTTGCCCTTCATGCCGATGCGTCGCTGCACCTCTTCCTCGATCTTCTCGTTCTCCTTGCCTTCGAGGTATTTGTCGAGCTCTCTTCCGTCCACGAACCACACGTTGTGCTTTCTGTAGCACTCCGTGACTTTGTTCCAAAGAAGGCGGCCTTTCACCGGAGCGTTCTTAATTCTCTGGCTTCCTTTCTTGTCCTCGCACTTCACGCGGTACTCCTGGGTCTTCTTGTTGAACTCCCACACGTAGCCAAGCTGCGTGAACTCGGCTATCTCGGGGTCGACGGTAGCGTCGTCTCCTTGGTTGCTTGACGGCTTCTCTTCTTGGTCTTCTGTCTCTACCTGCTTTGGCCTTTTTCCTTTCTTCTTCTCTTCTTCTTTTTCCTGTGCCTCTTTCTTCTCTTTCTCTTCTTCTGCTTTGGTCTTGTACCCTTCTTCTGTCTCTTCTTCACCTTCGCTTCCAGACAAGGCTGCACCTATGGTTTCCTTGAGGCTTTTGACCTTCTTCTTGTACTTCACGATCTTGTCCTTAGCTGCAAGTAGAAGTGCGTCCACTTCCTTCGAGTAACTTTTGAAGTACTGGTAGTCGTCCTTGAGGCTCTTGTAGTCGTACTGGAGGTCGTCGAGCTTTTGGTTCGTTACTTTCTCTTCTTGCTTTAGCAATTTAAGCTCTCTCTCCAAGTCCTTCTTTGCGTCGTCCACGTACTTCTTGGCGTACTCTTCTCTCTCCTGGTCGTACCCGACGGTTCTTTCCTGGGCTTTTCTCTCTCTCTCTCTCTCTCTCTCTCTCTCTCTCTCTCTCTCTCTCTCTCTCTCTCTCTCTCTCTCTCTCTCTCTCTTCTCTGCCTCCTTTTTCTTCCTTTCAACCTCTGCTTCTCTTCCTTTGACATTCTCCTCAGCTTCTTCAAGGGCTGTCTCCTTTTCGCTTAAGGCTTTAGCTTGCTCTTGGAGGGTCTCTTGGCCTTTCTCTACCTTCTCCTCTCTTTCTGTAACTTTGTCTTCCTTTTCCTTCACCTCCTTCTGCTTCTTCAAAAACCTTTTCACTGTCTCCTCAAACTCTGTCTTTCGGTCTTCGAACTCCTCCTTTTCCTTCTCCAGGCTTTCCTCAACCTTCTTCAACTTCTCTGCTCTCTCTGTCACTTCTTTCTTTTCCTCGTTGAAGGAGTCGACGTCGTAGTTCACCTGAGCGGCAGGAGCTTCAGTCTTCGCTTCCCTTCTCTCTGCTTTCTTCTTCCTTCTTCTGTTTCCTGAGCTGTTGCTTTCTTCTTCTTCCGACAAACCATGCCGCCATGCACACCATGGCGAGCGTCACCAGGACTTCCAGAAGCGACATGCTTCCAGGACTGCTTGGGACTTCTTGTGAGCTTGCTACTTCTTGAGCTGCGGCGAAAGGTACGTGTTGTACGTAGGCTGCCTCAGTCTTTGCAAACAAACTCGAAAGTGCAAACAACATGCTGCTCTTGTTCTTCATGATCTTCTCGAGTCTTCTTACCACTTGTGCTTTTTCTTCTTCCTCTCGCTCTTGTTCTCCAACTCTTCCTTCGCTGTTGCACATGCCGATCATGTTCAGGAGAAACTTCACTCTCTTCGTGCTGAGAGGCTTTGTTCCTAGGTCTGCTGTGTTTTCCTTTGTGCCGACTGCATGTACAGTAAGCTTGCCTTCGCGTATTGCTGCTTGTATCCAAAGTAAACGAATCTGCAAGTGCTTGACTCTTCCTGTTCCTTGGCGGTTTGTGATTCCGCGGCATGCGGAACTGTCTGTGTATGCTTTGAGTAGTACTCGTTCTCCTGTAAGGAAACGAACTGCTGCGTGCAAACCTATTCCTTCGCTTGCTGCTCCTGTAAGTGCCATGTATTCTGCTTCTGCTGAAGACAATGCTATTGACTTCTGTGTCCTGCTATAGCTGTAGAAATATGCACCGTCCAGGTAGAACATGGCGCAACTCACTGACTTCCTAGTCTGCTTGTCTCCGGCCCAGTCGGAGTCGCTAAAAACTTCGAGCAAACGTTCACGTGGTTGCTCTTGGGGTTCTTGTAGTTCTTGTGGTTCTTCGGCGCGATGACGTAGGGCTGATGTTCCTGGGCTGTTCTTGTGGTACGTAACAGCGTAGTCTGACGTCCCTTTGAGGTACAGCGCCAGGTGCTCCAACTCCTTTCTTTTACGTTCCGTTGGTTTTGTCATGGCAGTACTTAGGCTACGTACTGCGAACTGGATGTCCGGACGGTCGTGCGCCACGTACAGCAAAATGCCCACACAACTTCTGTACGTTCTCGAGTGTTCCTCGTCCAGTTCTTGGGATACGTCAGGTTCCTGACTGGCTGGTGTACAAGGAGAGTTCTTGGCCTTCTTCTTCTCCAGCTTGAGGATCTCCACGAGTTTCTTCACGTACTTGCTATCGCTATGTACTCGTAGTTCATGATGTTCGTACGTGTACTTCCTTTTGAGAAACTTCACGGTCTCTTCAGAAAATCCTTTCTCGTAATCTTCCTCGTTCAGGAGAGGTCCTTCAACTTGTAGGTTCACTTTCTTCTTGAGGTTCTTGAGGATTGGTTCGATGACTTCCTTCTTTCCTGCAAACTGCAAGTCATCTACGTGTACAATGCAAACTGCAACCACTTTTCCTTGTCGTAGTAGACGGTAAAGTGCTGGAACTGCTGTACAACGCTCAAACTTCTCTTCCACCAAAAGACCATCACAAAAGTCTGACCAAAGACTGGATGCGTCGCGTTGACCTGGCAGAACTCTTCCTAACTTCCAACACCAAGTTCCAGGGCTGCCTTCTGTCTGTTCCTGCATTGCTTGTACGACGTGAGCTGCTTCTTCAGGTACTCGACACAAACAAGGTGTTCTTTGAGGGACTTGTAAAAACGCGTCCTTCACGTCGACACTATAGATCGCCCAATTGTTGGCGAGAGCCAGCATGGGCACCAGTTTTGTAATTCCTGGGCTTGTCGCAGGAGAAAATATATCTTCCCTTTTTCCTTCTGTCTTGTATTCTCTTGCTACTAGCCTGGCACGTCGCTGCCAGCATCTCTGAATCTGCTTGGGCTTTGTTGTTCCTGCTGTGGCTTCGTCAACTTCAAAGAAACCAACGAAATAACTCCCATTTTTGTTAACCTCTTGATTTCCTTGACTGTAGCTTCATCATCCAACTTCTGAAGAAAAGCTGGATCCACGTTCGGTGGTCCTTTCTCCTCATCGAAGAACTCGACAGGGACCTTGGTAGAAACTTCCGTTGGTTCACTCTCTGTCTCCTCTTCTTCTTCTTCCGACTCGTACAAAAACTCATCATCTGCTTCGTAAACTTCATCATCATGAGGCATGTTGAGGTAACCGTCTGTTTCCTCTGCTCTGTTGACCTGCTTTCGTAACTTGCTGGGTGAGCTTGGTTCCTCAGGCTCAAGGCTGTGCTTGCTTGCTTCTGCTCTTGGTTCAGCTGGTGCTGCAAGTGCTTCAGCTGAGGCTGTAAGTGGTTCAGCTGCTCTAAGTTCCTCCAAAAGGGTGTCGTCATCAACTTCAGCTCTTCTCTTTCTGTCTATCGTCACACTCATGCTGCTGCCTTCGCTTTGTTCCTCTCTGTCTTCAAGTGCTCGCTGCTGCTCTTCACTGCTGTCCTCCGAACTCGGAGGGTCACTGGCGGCCTCGTCGTTCTCGAGCTGTTCGCGTTCTTCCTCGGCAACAGGGGGCAGGATGCTTAGCTGTGGTCGTTGTCTTTGCTTCTTCTCTGGAAGTACTCTTGCTCCAAGGAGTGGTGTGTTGAGGTTCCAGGTATGGACCTCTATGCTGCTTGTTCTTTTGGAGTCGTACTGTTCTGGTAGTGGCCTCACGCTGCGTGTGATATGTATGCCATCAGGCTGTGCAACGATCCAAGTGTCTTGCTCTGTCTTGCCTAAAAATATTCCTGCGTTCCATATCCTGTCGCCTTTTCTTTTGATCTTCAACCTCTTCGCCATCACAACAGTACCAAAGGGTACAAGCTTCCCTGAGTAGGGGTATCCGTGGATAACTTCCTGTGGCGTTCTTCCTGTGGAGCTGCTAACAGCGAACCTGTTGAGTAGCCAGCAGGCGTGTCTAAACGCCCAGCTTACTACTGCGTGCTCGTGCGGTATTGCTAGCTTTGTTCTTTCTCTGAGTTCATCGAGAATAGTGTTCGCCTGCCTCCGTACTGTTTGTATTGCTCTTTCTGCGGCTCCATTGCTTTCGTGGTCGTAAGGAATGCTTTCCTGTAGTGTTGTAGAAAGTCCAAGGCTGCTGCGTACCTTCTGTACTTTGTCCTTGAGTGCTTTGGCTGCGTTCTCGTTGTCTGCTTTGAGAACGAGGGTGTTGTACCCGAGCTGCGTGGTGAACTGCACGAGTGCTTCCGCGAGATGCGTCGTGCTTCCTGCACCTCCTTTCCTCTTGCAGGGCACCGCAAGAACTGCCTTGCTCCAGCTGTCCACAGCGACAAGAGTCACTGCTGGTGGCTCTTCACTTCCTGTGGTGCTTGTATAGCAAAACTGAAAACTGATGACGGGCTTCGCGGAATCCGTAGAGCTGCTTGGCTTGCTCAATCCTTTCTTGTGGTTGTCTTCTCGTGCTTTCATAGCAACGCAATGGGGACACCAAGGCTGATACGGAAGGTGCGTCAAGTTGTGGTACGCTCTCTCCTCTTCCGTTGGTTCCTGTGGTGGTGCTAGGTGGTATGCTTGGTGGTGTTCCCGTTGTTCCTTGTGTTGCGTGCTGAGCCTTTCTTCTCTGGCTGTGGCGAGTCTCCTCAAGAGTTGCTTCTTGCTTCCTGTTGTTTTCACTCCGTACTCTCTGCAAAGTGCTTGTAGTTCCTTAAGACTGCTCTTTTGTGCTGTGTACTCGACGCCTTCATGGTAGAAGCTTTCCTCCAAAACTTCAACAACTTCTTGCGGTGCTTCTTGGTCTTCTTGTGCTTCTCTCATCTCCTCATCTTTGCTTTCTTCTGCTTCTGGTGGTGCTGCTGAATCTTCCTTCTCTTTGTAGTGGTCTTCTTTCTTCTTCTTTAGCTCCTCTGCTGCAACTTCTGCCTTCAGGTCTTCAACAACTTCTGGCTTCACACGAAACCTTGTTTGACCAAACCACGGCAAACGAAAGTGTTCACGTAGAGGTAGACGGTCTGCTCTCCAGTCGTCACTGTGTTCGTAAATTTCTGTACTGTAGATGCAGCCTCCTTGGGTATACCTGCTGTTCTCGAGATCTCCAAGGAGGACAGGACAGTTGGAAACACCTGTCGGGTCAAACAAAACAGTTCTTGGTACTACGTGGTGACGAACAACTTCTCCTTTCTCGAGATCCATCTTCCAGTAGTCACGACCATGGCTTTCTTGATCTGCTCGGTCTCCGGCAGCGTAAGGAGTGCCAAGGATCAAAAGTGGAATTGGCTTTGCTGAAATGGCTGTGACCACTTCTTTTTCTCCTTCAGCAAACTCTTCAAAAGGGTCTGCCTTCTCGGAGTACTTTCTTGAAACTTCGACTGCTCTCCATCCTTTATCTTCTTTAACCAAAGTGCTTCTGTACGGAAAGTGCGTGGGGCTGTACATGAGAGATGGGTTCTCATAGCTGCTTTGAGTGGCATACTTCACGATCAACATGCTGTCTGTGTTGTGCCAACCAGGTTCTTCTTTGTTCACTGCTTCCTGAACGTGCTTGTTGAGTTGGACAACAGTGCGAACCATCTTGTAGTTGTTGCTGCTGTAACCTCTGCTTCTTGAAGGAGTTTGTATGTAGGCGTAGGCTGCCAAGCTGTTCTTGTGGAGATGCACTGGTATTCTTGAGCTTCCATCTGTAAGACACATACCTTCTTCTTCGTTGACTCGCAACTCCCAACCTTCTCGAAACAGCTTGCCTATGGCCATCAGCGGGTTGATCACCGAGGCAACGGTGAAGGCTTCCTGAATGCGACAAAAGCTTCCGTCGTCATCAAAGAACGTTAAGTTCAGCATCCTTCTGCCTTCCGTCTTTATTGCCTTTCCTTGTGCGTCCTTAATGGACGAAGGGCGAACCTTCAAAGGGGTTCCTTCTCTTCCTAGCCAAGAGGGCACAAGAGAAACGTCTGCGCCAGAATCCAGGATAACTTCGATTCTTTGGTGAAGATCGCTTTCCTGGAAAAACTCTTCCTCTACAACGCGCACTGAGAGAACTTCTTGTGGTGGTAGTGCTTCACGTCCAAGGTACCAACTTAGTAGAGGATCTTCTTGCTCTTCTTCGCTCTCTTCTCCTTCTGACAACACAAACTCTTCTGCCTCTGTCACTCTCAAAACTCTTCCAAAGTACTCAATCTCGAGTTCTTCTTCGTCTTCATCAAGCTCAAAGATTTCAGGGTAAGTGACGGGATCGTCGTCCATGTGGTACATCGCGATCTGTCGAACTGTCGGCTTAGCTGTAGACTTCGCGCTTGTGGTTCTTGTTGTGGCTGCTGAGGCGCTACTGCTTGGAACTGTAGTAGGCTGTGTCCTGACGCTTTGCTCGTCTTCCTCCTGTGCATTCCTGACGTTCTGCTGCATGTCTCTCTGCTTGAGTCTGCAATTGGCTTCGTAGTGTCCAGGCTTTTGGCAGTAGTGGCAAACACCAGTTCCTGGGTTGTTGTAGCCTTTACCTTTTCCTTTGCTGCTGTAGCCTTTTCCCCCGCCTTTGCCATATCCTCGGCCTCTGCCTTTTCCTTTTCCTTTTCCTCGTCCTTTTCCTTTTCCTCGACCTTTGTAGTAGTACTGGCTTTCTCCTTTTCCTTTTCCTTTGCCGAAGCCTTTGCCTTTGTACTTGCCAAATCCTTTTCCTTTCTTTCCTTTCCCTTGTCCTTTCCTTTGCCTTTCCACCATTCCACTCGTGAAACATCCATGTCTGCTTGTCCTTGGTGGTCCTTTCCTGAGTTGATGAGGTCTGTGGTAGTCCACCTTGCTGCTTGCTCGTAGGAGAGGAGGTACTGTCGCAATGTTCCGTACTTTGTGGTCTCTTTCTGGTTGAGTAGAAGGTGTTGTCTCATGTCCCCTTCGGTTCCTCCAAGAATGATGGAAATCTTCATGTCATCCGCAACAAGGTCTCCACTCGCTCTCTCGTACTCTTCAATCAACTCCTCGAACTTTAGGATATTTTCTTGCGTTGACCTTTGCTTGTCGAACCTGTAGTGAAGAACTCCGTTAAGTAGTTGTAGAGAACGTGCACGATTGTGAGGCTGATGTTCTTCCACCAACAACCTCCATGCTTCGAAACCGTTCTCGTTGGGCACTTGTTTAAAGTTCGTAGAGGACGGCCACGTGTATAGCTGGTGAGAATGGAATGTAGCTTTCTTGAAAGTGCTTGTTCACCTGGTGTAAGTTTGGTCCATGCCCATGATGCTTCTCTCCTATCCATCTCGACTGCGTTGATCTTCTCAAGGATATCGTTGTTGAGAGCGCCTATCCAACTTCTCAGCTTCAACCGAAACTCTAGAAAACCATCACGCTCTTCTTTATATGTAGTGGGGCCAAAGACTTCTGGAGATTTGATCATCTTGTGGAGGTCGATCTCTCCTGGCCTTCTTGACTCTGCGTGCTGCGACAGCGCTGTGACTGCTTCTGCTGTAAGCTTTCCTGTTGCTGCAACCGCGCTTGCAGTAAGCTCTGCTTGCTGTGACAGTGCCGTGTTAGTTGCTTGGGTTGCTTCAGTGATTGCTCTCTACTGCTGTGAAACTGACTGCGCGAGTTCCTGTAGTTGTTGTACTTGCTGACTGTTCATTGCTTGGGCAAGTGCTTGTATCTGCTGTGTGTTTTGGGCAGTGAGGTCCGTAAGCCTTTGCAAGGCTTCCTCCATTGCAACTGCGCTCTGCATGTGACTGTAAAGCAACACAACATGCAACCAAACTCGCTTCTTGAAAAGAACGCTGCAAACTGACCTGTGCAACTTCCTTCTCGAAACCTTCTTCTTCAACTGTTCTCTTTTTGTTTGTTTAACTTTGACCCAAAAATAGAGGTAGATCCAAGTGACCATGCCAAACGGGGTCCCAAGTAGAAGTAGAACTGGGCGACACGTGCGCACGACGTAGCTCACGACGGGCTCAAGGCTTCTTCCTGCTTTCGCAAGGTACTCTTGAAACTCCAAAACCAACTCGAACACAAGGTTCTTGTAGTAGTTCACGTGGGGCACTTCTTCGTTCTTTAGGTTCTCGTTATACTCCGCGACATCACCATCATGAAAACTGTAGTTGCAACTTTGTTCTTTTTCTTCTGTTCTTGTAGAACTCGGAGTACACGTTCGTCTTCTTGAGGTAGCTCGTGACGTTGATCTCGTTCTCGTTCTCGGTTTGGTATTGGGCTCATGTAGATGCGACCACAACGTGAAAAGTTCTGTGTGATCACCTTCTTGGCTCATCCCGGCAGGTACAACATCCGCTGGGGTAATCTCCTTTATCACATGCTTCTTCTTAGGGTTCTTGTTGTCGAGGGTGAGGACCTTGTTCTTGTAGTTCAGCATGCGGTTCGTGGCCAACGGGTAGCCGTAGGTCTCGTTCACTTCAAACACCATGAACCATGACATGCCCATGAGAACCACAACCATGAAGACTTTTAGCCAAAGGTACTTTCCTGCTGCTTCCAAAAAGGTTCTCTTGTACTCGAAGGTGCGTTGTTCTCGGGATCGAAGTCCGTTGGGGCAGCAGTACTTGCATGGTAGTACTCGGTGTACACTGGTTGCGTTCCTGAGGCCATGACATCTTCCTGAAACGTGGGTCTTCTCTCCGTAAGGGGAGTACCAGAGTTCTGGTAGCTCTTCCTCAGCTGGAGCTATGCGCTCCACCGTCTCCTTTCTCACAAGTTCTTTCGCAAAGCTTCTTGCCAGACACATCAGCGAAAAAGCCAAAGCCAAGGAAACCATGGCGACAGCTACCTGTTGTTCCTGTGATAGCTTCATCGCTCCCAAGAGGTCTGAATCAGGGAGCTCCGCTACCATGTTGAAACTAAAGGCTTCTCAAGCCTTCCTTCCCACTCTACTCGCAAACACACTTTTCTCACTTCGCGGGCTGACTTGCTTAAGCCTCCGTGTCGCGGTTCACACACATGTTTCATGTGTTCTTGTGATTACTCTACACACTCTACTTGGGACTACGTGCACTAGGTTACAAACGAACACAACGTCACCTCTGCTCGTTACCGCCTGCACTGGTTGAAGCAGAAGAAGAAGCAGTGCGCGTCTGAGGGTACCAAGCATGGATGGACGAGAGGGGCCAGTGTTGGTCTTCCCTGTTTCGTTTGCGGGGATCCTTTGAATCAACCCGATGCTACCACTCCCTTGACTGTCAGGATGCGGTGCTGGTGTGCCCGCTTTCTTAGTAGCCCGGTGTTTGGTCGCGCCGCCCACCATCTTCCCACCGCGGGAAGAACACGAATTTTTACCGTGATGTGGTTTCCCCTCTGTGGGGGGCCCAGAGGGAACCCTCACCTCCCTCTCCCCTTTTTGCTTGCCCTGTTTCGGCCGGACCTTGGTGGGAGAGTCGCCGGACTTGGGACCGACGCGGCTCAGGATTGCTCGTATGTGCCAGTGTTTTTGGGGAATTGGGGTCGTCGTTTGTAGTTTCCTCTACACTGTCTGGTAGTGCGCCAAGGGGTTTTAAAGCAATGCCACAGATGCCTAAGTAGTGATCGCAGGAAGCAGAGGCACAGCAACAGACCCGCTAGGTGGTGTGCATCTGACCATGTGCATGTACACTCGGCCTTCGGTCCTCTGCCTCCTCCGGATGATGTCGGTTGATATACCTGTCGAAGACAGGATGAGTCGGACTTGCAGTTGTCGAGGGTCAAGTGACAACCGTAGTGGCTCTCTTGACAGGCTTTCGAACTCAGCACTTGCTGTTTTGGCAGCTGCTCACAGATGCACTCTCGGCAGTATCTGAAGCAACCTGCACAGCGTAAGCCCGCTCGGACCAGCATTTTCGCCGCCGCGAAGGGGCGATTACGAACAATCGGCGCCCCCACCTGGGGGCCCGGGTGCAAGTTGAGACCTATGTCATCCTCCAGACGGAAGTCAGTGTGGAGTTCCATGGGAAGTTCGTCGGTAATGGGTGCGGGCCGGCCTGACTACCTTCAGATTGGCCTCTGGTCTCTGGGATGACTCTGCTGGAGGGCAAGTGCGTTCTTGATGAGCTGGAGGTGCCACGTTCCGCCTGATCAGGGCTACCTGCAGACTGTTCGGTGAAGTCGGGCCGGTGGGTCGGCTTCCGTTTCCTTTTGCGGTTGGCATTATCTGGACTGGGTTGAGCTGCCTCCGGTGGCCGGTTCGTCGGCATCAGCTGCCAATGTTCAGAACAGCTGTCAAGGGGTTGCTCTGGTGGGGACCTCTTTACCATCGCCATGACCTGTGCACTGGGGTGCCTGGAAAGACTGGCTGATATGGCGGGTCCGGCTGCACGTCCGGAGTCACCTCCGGTGGAGTGGTCCTTTCCAGGAGGTCGTCGCTATCACATCTACATCCGGAAATTCATTGTCCAGTGTCTCCCAGAATTCCGAGTCCGAGGAGATGCTGTGCAAGGGCAACCAAATGGCAGACTTGAGTTGACATGAACGAAACCAAGGCATTAGCAACCCTGCCTGACTGCTGAGCTGGTGGATCTGTCCATCTGCCAAGTCCTGCCAGGGTAGGCATGACTGTAACTATGTAAGGGGATATCTCGTGACACGGGGTGAGAGAGAGTGGAAGCATGTAGGCACGCACTTGCGTAGACTTCGAGCTGTCCGGGGCCCTGTCGGCCTGCCTGTCCTAGCTGTGGCCGTAGGTAGGCCTGTAGCACCACTGATGGGAGTAGGGGAGTCCTCCGTGGACTCGACCCTTTCTCCGCTTTCGCGAATTGTCACCGCCTGGATGAATTTCGGGGCTACGTTGTCCGATGTCAGGTAGTACCCGCACTTTCCGTGGCCGAACTCGGCTTCACGTGCACTACAATGTCGGTACGTGTTGGAAAGTACCTTTCGCTGCTCCT